TCCTCTATCTGTTCATTTGCTTGAGCCAGAAACCTCAGAGACATCCTTGCCGCCTCCCACTCTCTCAACTCCCAGGGCCAAACTGTCGCTAAGCCCCATGGCTTCTGCATGCAAAACATACTTCAATTCCACCTCTTCTCTCATCTCTGCCTTGTCGCCTGTCTGAGCCACCACATCTCTCACCTGAAACTGCCTCTTTGCTCCTCTCCACTCTCTCCCAACAGCTGCCAGAGTGGTACTTTGGAAAGAAAGTACATACTTTGGAAACAAAGTATGAAAACACTTAACAGGCAAAAGAAAGAAGGTCAAACTAATGGTCTGAAAGACCAAATAGAAGAACCCCTTCAAAAGGTGCAGAGCTAGAGCTTGATGATTTGAGTGAAAATGTAGAGAGACCCGGACGACAAGTCCAGGAGACTTAAGATGCAAGTAGTGCTGTTCCTCAACTCTGGAAGCAAGAAGACAGTGGCTTCCCGCGCCCATGGAGCACTGTTAAGAAAGCCTTGAGACGCAAGCCCCCCTGCCCAGCCAAGACAGTACATATCTATCATGGCCAAAGAAAGACATTTTTGGTCATTGGAGTACATCCAATCCATGCACCTTGTTGGAGAACAAGAAGTTCTCTAAGCAAATGACTCCTGAATGACTACCAGGGCTCCAAGTGGGGAAAGGCAAAAGGGAGGGTAAATGGCAACAGGCCACAAGTTTTTAATATGTGTAGTTACACATGAAAGACAAAGGTACTGTGATTGGGAGTTTGTAGGATTCCTGAAACATAAGTGAACTACTATAAAGAAAATATGACAGCCTGGAATTTAAAAAGAAATTACTATCTAACCAAAACCCAGAAGTTAAAGGTTAGGGATCAGAGTAAAAATAAGAATTAAAAGTGTTCTAAAGCTTCCATTTCAAGGGCCTGGGAGGGTGCGAGAGACTGGAGGGAAAAAGATTTCACTGTCAATTGCTTAAGAAAACATAAATCCTGGTATGGGGTTTTTGTGAGAGACATATCTAAAACTAAGTGACAAAGAAAGGCTGAAAGCTGAAGAAACCTAAAGGTATTCCCAGCAAACATCAACAAACAGAAAGCAAGCACAGCCATGTGAATGTCAGAAAAACCACCGCTTGAGGCCAAAAGTATTACAAGAAAAGAAAGACATTCTATACTGATTAAAAAAAGACAGAACCCATTAATAGGACGGGCAAAGGATTTCTATAAGCACAAACTCATCCAGTGGCAAAGCCTGATCTGAACTGCCATAAGACTATATAAAGTCTTTATATAACCTACTAAGCGTGAATGCGTACACATTTCCCTGGAGAAGCATCCAAATGTCTCATTATGGGGTGCCGCCCAGGCCCTACTTGTGGTATTACATAATAGATGCTATGCGTACTACATTTTCCTAAAATTGTCAAACTTGCCAAACCCTAAATTAATACATAAATTCTGTGCAATGCCAATCAGAAATCTAATGGGGTTTTTCCTGGAACTGGATAAAAACTATCTTAACGATCATATGGAAGAATTTACATTTAAGAACAGTTAAGAAAAAAAGAGCCAAGAAAAGAACAGTGGGAGGATGGCAATGCTTGCCTTATTAAAATTAACCACAAAACCACGGTGATAAAAATATGGTGTTAGCACAGCAATAGACAAATGGAGTCAACCGGTGGAATGTGGTAAACAGCCCAGAAATAAATCCCAAGTACACACGGGAACTCAGTCTATGATAAAAGTGTCATTTCAAATCAGTGTAAACATGGTGGTTCTTTAATAAATGATGCTGGCATAACTGTTTATCTGGCATTTTTTTAAAGAACCAGGTGTACTTATCACAATGTTCACAGCGTAGAGATTTATATGTAAAAAAAGAAAATAATAAGCACATTAGAAGAAAACGTAGGAGAATATTTGTATAAGCTCGGGGATGGGGAAGATGTTCCAAAGTAAGGGGAGATACTCAGAAATCATAAAGGGAGAGATAGGTATTATGTATAAGACTGCATACAAATTATAGTTTTCAGTAGGACAAAAAAAAGACACTGTAAGCAAAGTCATAAAACAAATGATAAGCTGGGAAAAAATGTTTGCAGTACATATGACAGAGAGAGGATTCATATCCCAGCTGCACACAGTGGTTGAAGATCTAGGCTGGGTGATCTTCCATCTGTAGAGATGGCAGAAACGGGCTTCTTCCCAGAAAGAGGGACTGGCCGTCCACGTTGTCACAACATGCCTGTTGCTTTCACAGTCATGAACATGATCACAAGAACATCATTAATAATATTTATAATGACAGCCGCATCTATTGGATACTTATAGAGTCTGAGACCATTTATGTTAAACACATACCATTTGTGTATATATACAAATACAAATATACTTAGGTTTATGTGTGGATAAATATGTGTGCGTGTACGAATAAGTAAAGGAACTGCAAAATTACACATCAAGCTAATCAAAGTGGTTCCTGTAGGGCAAAAGGGTAGGGGATCAAGATTAGGCACAGTGCAGGGTGCCTGGGTGGCTCAGTCAGTGAAGCAGCTGCCTTGGGCTCAGGTCATGATCCCAGGATCCTGGGATTGAGCCCCGCATCAGGCTCTCTGCTCAGCAGGGAGGCTGCTTCTCCCTCTCCCTCTGCCCCTCTCCCCGGGCTCCTGCTCGCTCTCTCTCTCTCTCTCTCTCTCCCTCTCAAATAAACAAATTTTTTTTTAAAAAAAGGTTAGGCACAGTGGTTCCAGGAGACTTCAGCATTATTTGAAATGTTTTCATTTTTCATAAGGAAAATTTATTTACTAGGTAACTAAAAAATTAATTTCTTTAAAAAAATGCAACTTAAATCAAATTCCCATTTGGATTTTAATGAACTGATAAGCTAATTCTATTAGATGAAAAGAACAGTAAGTGCCCAAGAATATTTAAGAAAAAAAAATTTTTTTTTAAAGATTTTATTTATTTATTTGAGAGAGAGAATGAGAGAGAGCACATGAGAAGGGGGAGGGTCAGAGGGAGAAGCAGACCCCCTGCTGAGCAAGGAGCCTGATGCGGGACTCGATCCCGGGACTCCAGGATCATGACCT